CCCACCACAAGTAGTCAGTACACACACACACATACACACATATTTCCCAAGCTACATGGAACCAGTTCATTCTTCATTGACAATTCTAGAAAGAAAATTCGGATTGCCAACACACAAACAGAATGTCTCATATCGAGAATATTCCACATTGAACATGAAGAAAAAATTATTTTTAATAATATGTAAAATTCCACTTTCAAACCACTTTGAGACCTGACCAGGAAACACGTGAAAATGTAAAACAAATTAAGAATATTTTTCTCAATAAAACATAAAAAACAAAAAAACGTTTTTTAGTATAATATTTTTATATATCAATATATATCATTGGAACCATAAATATATATATATATATATATATATATATATATATATATATATATATATATATATATATATATATATATATATATATATATATATATATATATAGTATATATATATATATATATATATATATATATATATATATATATATATATATATATATTTATATATATATATATATATATATATATATATATATATATATATATATATAGAGAGAGAGAGAGAGATGTATATACGCACGCACATCTGGCTCATCAGATGACTACATTTTATTAGAGGATATAAATTCAGTCAGACAAAATTGATATAAAAAAACAGACATTAAAAAAGGGAAAGTAAAAAATAAAGTAAAGATTTTAATTTGACCTTAAAAAATTTTTGGGTGGGGCTATTGAAGAGAGAGAAGCGAGGGAAGAAAAAAGTAGTATATAGGAGTAACGGGTGGTAGGGAAGATTTTATGGATAAAACTTTAACCACACAACCAGTAATAAAACTCACCGAAATGTAATCTATGTTGTTATTCATTTAAACATCATCATCATTTTTATCATCCTAACAATAATAATAATAAAAACATATAATATGTGTGTGTGTGTGTGTGTGTGTGTTCGCACACACACACATGGAAGTGCATGTAGTTGACTAATAGTGACTAAGTGAATGTGTTTGTTTGTTGTGTATATATATATATAATATATATATATATATATATATATATATATATATATATATATATATATATATTATGGATTCTCCATGTAGGTTTCGACGTATGAGGATCTGAAAACTTAACCAATTGATTCAGCTATGAATTTTTAAGCGATAACCTTAAGTGGTACTTAAGAACCGCTTAATTGACTTACAAAGGAGGCCGTATATGGAGCAAAAGTGAGGATTGTGGGATGAGATCACTGTTAGATTGCCTGGCCTTTTAGATCTTGCTCTCGCTTCTTGAAGACGATTCAGACTAACAATTGAAAACTGCTGAAGCCACTAAAAAACGTATATATAGATATATAAAACACTATATAATAATAATTATAATATACACATTGAGCTCCACCTGGATTATATACCAACTCATTTCTTACCTGTACTGTATATATATATATATATATGTATGTGTGTGTATGTGTGTTTTGTCTCTAAACTTTCCTTTCTGAAGAAAATGCGGCTTTTATTGTTTATTTACTCTCTCTCTCTCTCTCTCTCTCTCTCTCTATCTATCTATATATATATATATATATATATATATATATATATATATATATATATATATATATATATATATATATATATATATATATATATATATATGAAAAAGGTACGATGGGTAATGAATACATTGACTCTGATTGAGGGATCGAAGAGCCGAGTTCGAATTCAGTCAAATCAATTACGTTCACTTATGTTCTAATAAATCCCTCCCAGGTATGTCTGGGTTCTGCCCCAGAAAGAAATGTCAAACTACTGCGGGAAATAATATGCCTTGTCAGTCATGTATTGAAAGATACATGATCGCCTAAGCATGCATCATATATATATGGCCTGGCGATTGCGTTTGCCATTAAACAGACTATCGCCTCTCGATGTTGATTTCAATGTCCGCTTTTATATTTACATACGCTCTAACTCTGATATATATATATATATATATATATATATATATATATATATATATATATATATATTAACAGTACCTATGAACAGTAATGGATATGTTTCAATCCTCGTAAATACGTTGGCCAATATTGTAAGTGGGGTAATATACCAAGTAATTCACCACGCTCTCTCTCTCTCTCTCTCTCTATATATATATATATATATATATATATATATATATATATATATATATACATACATATAGAAAGAAATAAGGTGTTTTAGGAAATATATTTTCTTTCAATGGGAATAATTGTATCTATCTATCTATCTATCACAGCCTATTTATTATCTCTCACAGTTTGTTAATATCTATCCATGCCAATGGATTTATGTGTTTTTCTGTAATTCTACATATATCGATCTATCTTTATATCTATCATATAATTTTTGCCAGTATCTTAGATTGTCCATCTATATATATGTGTGTGTGTGTTTATGTGTTTGTGTGTGTGTTTGTGTGTGTGTTATACTGTACCTATGAACATAATGGATATGCATCAATCC